TACACGCAAGTAGCGGTTAGCCATAAAACCAGTTTTTCCTGAATACATAGCAGCACCAATATTTTATTTACTTCACTACTTATAAGAGCTATTGCTTTGACAATTATTATGTCTCTCTGTTTTGGGTTGAAACTAGACTTTCTAAATCTGTTTTTTCTCAGGTTTGCACAGTAAATATACAATAACTGTTTTATGGATTGCGCAGTGTGCGAGAGGGATCCCGTATAAGCGTGAAAAAGTGTCAATACTGGTACAATGACTGTATTGGTATGTACGACAGGCATGTAACCACATACACATATTTATAATGTTCAATAATTGCTAATCGAATTTTAATACAACATCAAGATTTAAAGTATACTATGGATATGTTCTATCATAAAACTCCCTCGTTAAAATAAGTAAATTAAAATTAAACAAAAATCCACATTTCATGACAATCGTTATCGATATTTTCCTACTACATCTGCTTTTCGACGAAACTTACCACATCGTAAAGATCGATGTCAGACAGGTGCTTGCTCGAAGTTGCGTTAAATAAAAATATGAACTATGGCACAATCGAATTTGAGTCACAGATACGTTCCCACGACGAGGTCCAGCTGCACTCAGAATGGATACAACTTGATTACCGGTGAGTTAGTTACATATTTATTCAGAGGAATATAATAACAATAAAATGGCTACCTCATTGTTGTATTTCGGTGGTTTATAAAGCCACAGCGGAAACATAAACAATATCAAGGAATCTTAGAGCAAAAAGTTTTCAACATTCCACTAAAACCAAAATCCGAAAACCAGCTCTTGTGAGGTAAAATAACATAATTTCAATTAATCAAGTTCAACAGTTGCCGTTATTTTTACTATTAGACGAATCGTCGCCATAGCACAAATAATTCTAGCATGCATCATGTTCCTTCCCCATCCCAAAACACATTATCGACAATAGAAAAATTTTGGTCGCTCAAAACATATTGTGTCAACTTCAATACCCGTTTATTGACTTGTTAATTTTTCATAGGAATTTTACGTTAACCTCTTTTTTGTGTAACGACTTTGCGAAGCACATATTTATTTTTAAGGTTTGCTCTGCCACACCTTTGTATGGCGAAAGCCGTTCTAGTCACAGAGATCAAGAATTTAAAAGGAACTCTATTGCATTGATGTGTGGTGATGTATTCGAAAGTTCCATGATGATTACACATCATGGCCAATTTTCAAACGGATTTGAACGCCACATACAATTGTTAATGAACTTCAAATATTGAGCTGTAATTTTTTAAACAAATAAGTCGACAATCATTTGTTTTCAGTTAGAATTAGGCCGAAACAATATACCACGAATAAAAATATTGCAGTTATTGCCTGCGATGATGCATAACAGGTGGACTAAATTTTAGTTTAGCTATACCGACGTCAAAATTTGGAACCACTAGTTTTGTATGACTTGTAAAACCGCGAAAGCAACTAGTGGTAACTGAAAAATCAACAACAAGCGTTACCAAGAACCGTAATTATCAGGTACATTCTTTTGTTATTTGTATCAGTAACAGTTACAAGATGCCTGTCACGTGGCTGTCGTTTCATTCACCGAGATTGAGGTAATTGTGCGAATATCGCACAGCTGTGTAAACATGAAGCGATTTGTCGATCCACTTAACCAGCGAGGCATAATGCAGTGCAGAGAGGTACGTTACGTTGGTCTATCATAATACATATAAACTTATGTTTGTCAGTTAATCTGAGATGGGAAATATTTACATTATTTCATTACACGATGGCTTAACTAAGCACGGGACGAGAGGGCGAACAGGTGTATTACACTCGATTCTCATGCTTGAGAAATATAATTAGAAAATGTTCACATAGTATTAAATTCATTATAACTTATCTTCAACTATCATCAAATCATAATTGGCAAAGATAAATTGCATTTTAATTTTTGACATATCATTCCGACATATTTGAATGAATAATAATAAACAAAGAATTATGATATGAACTCGTAGATGAAAATTTAAATCATATTTTGCGAAATTCACTAAAATTAGGGCCGTAGGTATTTTTATATAGAAATATTAAAAATAATTAGTAAAAGCACACATATACCCAAATCAATGCATAAGAAGTATAGAATTGGACACACTTCAACTTGAATATACCCTCCAAACGTTATGAGGAAGACGGAAAAAATTATTTTAGTCAGTACAACACCAAGGAAAGCTTATTTTTAATTTGAGAATTTTGATGCTATCGGAATTCTGTAGCATATATATTCCACATAATGTAAACTGAAATCTCCCCTCTCGAAGGTACTTGAATATTGTCTAAAATAAAAGGCATGATCAAACTTCATGAATTTATGTCTGAAGAATTCCTACATATATCTACCGAAATGTGTAATAATTTGACTTAAACATATTGGGAATTTATTAGTTACCTGTGTAAATATGTATTTAATGAATGGGGGTTTGACAGACATGAAATTTGAAACGCGTAAAATAATCTTGGGTAGGATTGGGGTAGGGTTGGAAAGATTTTCACTCAATCCAGGTTTCTAGCCTTGGTCAAAAGTGTAAAATGAAATGGTTACAAAGATGGAAACGATGTTCATGTTTCATCCATTTTAGAGCAGTGGGACGCATCAAATTTGCACGTATTGTGTAATCGTCACGTTAAAATGGCACCCTGATTATCTAATTTTATTGGTTGGTTCAATTTTAAATTATGCCAACCACATATTTTGTTTTGCGGGTCACGAACCGAATGCATGTGAATGTTATGATGAGAATCAGATCTCAAAACGATAACGGCCCAATGTAACCCGAATAACACACGGCCATTCAATTGAGAGAAATGTGGTTGAATCAAGAACTACAGGAAACTAGAACTTGACCATCCAATGAAGTGTTTTTATATTTCACGGATACCGGTAGTAGAAGCAGGTCTTTGCGCTCTCACGCTCTTAAGAATGCAATATTATTCTTGTCGTGGTTTATATATATATATAGTTCAAGTTAGTGGTTACAAACCGACATTATATTCCACAAATAATATTAGCTTAGCCGGTTTAGTAGAAACGTAATTTCGTCGCTGATGCCTAAGCAGGCCTATCTAATGAGAAGGCTTATCTTAAAGAAGAATTTTATTGTGGTCTAAGTTGACGCCCAGAATCGGCAAACTGTCTCAGATGTACGATTGAAAAAACTGTACAAGGTTCCAGCCTGATATGGCATTTCAAAGAATCAAATTCGGTTCAATACTGTAACAGACTTAGAACGTCACTGGTGGTTTTTTAAAACTGCGAAATTCAGCATTCCCATCGCTGTTTCTTCCTAAAATTTTGATTGTAAATAATCTGTGCTTAGATAAATATAGGTTGTCATCATAAAATAAAACAAGAATTCGTGGGTACTGACCTCAAGCAGGGATCTCGAACAACGTTTGCACCTGGTGTATTGGAAAGAAATTTCAACTCTATCGGCACATTTTGCCCCACAAAACTCGACAAACAATTCATATTTGTCGGAAGATGAACGATATAAGCAGCTGGCCAGTCCAAAGGATTTTGCATGAAAAAGTGAATAATTTTAGGATAAAGTCTTCAAATGCGCTTTTATTGTTAGAAAGAAGTAATAATGAACACGTTTTTGGGCATCTTCGTATAAGGAACATCTGCTAATATTTCTTGCTGTTTATTCAGGTGTTTTATAATTAAATCATCATCAACATCGAAAAAAGAACTCAAAGTTTCTGTGAAAGTAATTTTAGTCGATCAAATGTACCCAGCTGGCGTCCATTTTGTATCAACATCTACTTCCGACACGTTCTAAAACGGAAATTACAGGCATGTTTTGAAAAAATGTGATGGGACATGAAACTCGGAAGCGCCAGTTCCAGGCACGTGACTGTCACGTTCCAATCGTGATTGGATTTTATCGTGGCTGTCGTCTCTCACCATCTTGACGATCATTTTCATGAAGCTTTTCTTTGTGAATTTGCAAAGCCTACGCCATATATTTCGAGAAGGTTCATTCACGGTATCAAGGTATGTGTCGTTTTTTCAGTGGACGACATATTGATATTTTCCGCTGAACCTCTTTTTGTGAACACGTCCTTTTCAAGAATGTAGCTTTTGTTAGGCTGTGTACACGAGCTGTAAATGCTGTCGTAGAATTGTCAGAATTTCTTCATGCATTCTCTGGGAATCAAGTTCAGTGATGTTTTTTTTTGTATAGCGGACTTGGACTCACCCATAATCACTGACCCGCGCGTTTGAAATCTAAGTAAACGTCGTCAGAAAACCAAGACTTCGTGAATGGCGTCACGACCAAAATGTGAAATCCCGAACGCACGTACTCCGATTATCGCCGTAAAGCATAATTTCGTTTGGTTCAAGGTGACAGGTCATAAATTTAGAAGCACTGAAGATCAATTTGACATTGTGAAAAATTGTCTAATGGAACACAGAGTGCAAAAAGTCACCGAAATTCCCGTCGAAAAGATGATCCTCTGTTTATTTCACGGGCTATGTCACGCCAAGTCTAATTACTGGTGACGGTGCATGATCCTCCGGAACGTGTGTCAAGATAGAATGCGCTTTATCTCTGCCCTTCACTAGCAACACCGATTCACTCACAACACGCAACCCAAACAATAACGCGGGTCGAAAGTGAATATAATAATATTTGTCCTTGTGCGGTATCCTTATGGGTAGATGTGCATAAACTTGAGTCTAGTCGATGACAAACACCTGGGTGCCTTTGAGAGCGATACACAAAGCGAGGTACTGTTGCGGTATATCGAAGTGTATTCTAAAACAATGAACATCCTGACCACAGAATTTGATAAATTGCATTTGTGAATTGTTCGTTTCGTGAGTGTAAATGAAGAAAATAAATCGACTCGCGGGCAAAATCTTCAATAGAAATATGCATTGTACCGTGCAATGTATTTTGTACTACAAATAGGGTTGTTTCCTATTTTCAACAAAAAGCAAAACCAGGTAAAATAAATTTATTTTAAAAATTATTACAACATTATAGTGCGGTAATATGTGTAACTAACATCAGTATTTCGAAAATTTGAGAGTTATTCATTTTGTCCATTTGTACTTTGTATGTACAAGGTGATACCAACAAAAAAGAATCAGTTAATTTGGAACATATTCTAAAAAGAACCTAACTTTCGTCTTATATTACTAAAACTTTTGAGTATAAAAATACAAAAACAGAACAGAATTTAAGTGTTAAACAAGTGTAAAAGGAATTTTCTTTATATTCGTTGAATCGTTGGAGTAAATATTAAGTTCATGGGTTCTGTTTTGTTGGCCACCATGTAGTATAAAGAAATCACTGATTACAAAATAAAATACAGTGTAAATTCGAATAAATTTTTACAATTTCCTTAACAGTTTACTTAACAAAAAATGGTATAAATGGGCTTACACGTCATGAAAACAAAACAGAAAAAGATAAGTAAATTTCATCAAAATTTTATGTTTTTCTTCTCGTGATATGATCGTATATTACTACTTGAATATACTGGTCGGTTTCAATTGGTGTCCGCGTTGAGTTGTCTCCTGGAGTTTGAGCCTGCAGCAGAAAAATGGTATTTGTTATATCAAATGATTCTGAACTTTCCAAAGCGCCAAAAGTACAGAATGATCCAAACAGAAAGAGCAGTCAGGTCACTTGGAACCTATTTTGGGGAGAACATAACTTTCGTGAAAAGCGTCCTAGATAACTGTAATTTTGAAGTACAACCATCCAAAAAAACAAGTTCAAGTGTTAAATAAGTTTACTTATTTTTCGTAAAAGTCAATTAAGAAATGCATGCGTTTTTTTTGGGTCACGCTGTATTACCCCTGATTAGTTTCATTGCGAGTAAAATATTTTGATATTAGATGATTGAGAAACGTTTAAACTAAAAGTGACATAAAACAAACTTTTGGATCGACGTTTAATATTTTTCTGTCTCTTTTATTTTTGAAAAGAAGTCCAGATGCATTTTCGGCGATCACTTGATAGTTAGGAGTAGGATTCGAAGTTGATGTCTGAGTTTCCCAGTTGTAAAAGCTGAAGAAAAACAAGAAGGAAAAATAATGAAAAATATAAAAATGTTTGTGAATTGTAACGTAACGTAGTTAGTCGGGGTACAAGATAACCCGGAAGTTTGAAAAATGAACTATCGGTTTCCGTCTTTACCACCAATATCGTGTCTTAATAAGCTATCAGTACATCGAATTGAGGGGCTGATAAACAGGCTGAACACCAGAATATTGTCAACATATTCCCAGCATATAAGATACTGGTAGTAGTGAGGATGAATATATGGTACCAAATATATGTGCCAATATATTATATGTGTAAAGTTTTCTATAGAAATTCAGAAAACAAAAGTCGGCCGTGTTGTATTGTAATACACAGTAGGTAAGTACCTTATTACTCAATAAAGTTACTACACCAAGTTATGAATTTCTAACCTCAAATCTGAAGGTCTTGGAAGTAATCGTTTCTTTCCAGAAAAGTAAGGTTCAAAATCTTCAGTTTTAAGTCTATGAGCAAAGTCAATGTATCCAGATATTTCCTGTCCTCGTGCATTTTTGTCTCGGATAAATATAATGGACTGTAAATAGTAGACAGTGCATAGTTACAGGATTGGTGTGACGAAGTGAGTAGTATGCTATATATTTCTGCAACTCGTAATAATGCGTGGACAAACAGGAATTGGCAATTAACAAATCAAATACTAATTAATTTAGATACTATCAAGTTGTTGCTTCGTCGCTAATTTTCTAATTCTATTTAATTTGTTTATCTTTGATAAAATGATTATTAATTAGAATCAGGTTTTAAACCCATTGACTCCATATATCTTGGAAAAACTTATCCTAACGCAATACTAAGGATAGTACTTTACTTTTTGATATTCAAATAATTGATAATCGATTTAAAAATACATCCATATAACTTCATAAAGTTATAGATAGGGACGACGAGTTATACATATTTAGCAATTCATTGAAGCGTTTTCAAGCTGAGGTTTTGGGGGGAAGAGAGCAAACGTAACAGTTTAAGATAAATTACCATAATCCAATTAAACCACTTTATCAGAATGTAGCGGTTGAATTCCCCGGGTAACGTGAACTACGAAACCCATCAACAAAAGCTTAGCGTAATATGTTTAATAATTTGTACGGGGGTAAAATTAAGATTAGTGAGATTGAACGCGTTTGGTCTGCGTTAGAACAGAAAACGCATACTGGACTATAGTGCTGCTAGGCGTCACGCCTGCAAAATCCGATGTTTTCAGTCAACCGTACACCTATAGCACAAAAACTCAAAAATCGAGATGACAAGAGTTTTTGCAGCTGAAACAACTGTTAAACCCAGTTCGGGCTATGCAAACATAGGTTTGGTTGACATTGTAATTCTGTCACACTGAACACATTTTGTCATCCATCGTGTGACGCAAGCTTAATGCACTAACACCTGTAGTTTGTTTCAAGTGTGCAGCAGATCAAATTCCTTGCCCTTTGTCCACTTAAGATGGACGGAACATAAAGTCAAATGTTTTTGCAGTGACATATAAACGGCCAATTTACATTTGTTGTTATTATAAGAAACATCATACAGAAAACATCGTACAGTTTTTCTTAAAGGCAATTTGGCGACTTGAACGCAAAGAACGAAAAATAGATATATGTTTGAAATTCGTCAAAATAGGTACTAATTAATAAACATACCGTCATTTTGCCGCTCCTGTTTCCTTCTTCCCTTTGAGCTAACGATCGCAGAAATGTACTTTTCAAATCCTTGCCGGAGCTTGCTAATGTTCTGTAAATATATAATGCTTGGTTAAAATAATAAAAAAATTACGCATAATCTTTATATCATACGATTATATCATTCTATGGAATGTGAGATATAATAAGTTGAAAGAATCGCGGGCGCTCCCGTAGTATGTGCAACAAGATAGCAGACACCTGAACATAGTGTGTGTACCAGGTTAGGGTTAGGCCATAATTTTATTCTAATTTTCCTTATTTTAGTTCTATCACGAGTTTGGGGACTAGCCAAGTGACTCCCGTAAGATTTATACCTGAAATTATGGCCAAATCCTAACCTGATACACATACTACGTTCCGGTGTCCGCCGTCTTCTTGCCGGTACTACGTGACTACCGAATCGCGGAGTCATGTCTGTAGCGTAGCAGAATGAACAAACTCGAAATTGACAGCCAAAACAACTCATGTTGTTTTCCAAACATGTTTTAAACAGAAAAACAAACTAAATAACAATTCTAATGTATACGAATTTCTGAATCAAATTCAATTATTAAATTAAACGTCTCAAATGAAATGAATTACGGAAAACAAAATGATGTCTTAAAGCGAATCGTTTTATTTCAAGAACAGGATTCGAGAAGGGAAATTGAACGAAAAAATACCAAACTAAAAAACTTTGTTTATGGGAAGGCAAAATAAACATAGAGCTATATGCATTTTCATACAAATTGGATCAAAACTCCACTGAACAGATAAACGAACAATATTGATATATCTCGCCGGCCCACAGGTGTCCACGATTATAAGGATATTGAGTTACAAATTTCCTCAATAATCGGAGAAAGATCGGGTTAAAAGCAATGAAGAAACAAAACTAGATAAACATAGAAGTTATTACGCTAATAGTTAATGATCGAACAAGTGTGGACCTTGACTAAGAAAGAACGGAAATGGGTAATGCTTTGCATCTGGTAATTGATGCATACATTACTTTTCAAAACTCTCTAGTCGGAGAAAAGCTGTGAATAGTTCTTAAAAGTGGTTAAGTTTCATTTAACGCGTTCTTAGTATTAAGGCAAATCTCCCGTTGAATTGCTGATTATAGGTTTGAAAATATGGAATGAGATTTTCACACTATAATAAAAGATCGCGAAAGAGGTCGACCGGTACTCGGCAACAAAACACAACACAAGAAAGCAAATACCATAATTGGAGACAGTCTCCACAAAATGTACCCAAACTCTAACAGACCAACGCAGTATTTCCATTCTCCGTCAAAATCAGACCACAAAGGTGTATGCGCGGTAATCGCCTAACAGGTGTAAATGATTGCAGTCCGCCATTTACCGGGTTAGTCGAGATATCCTTTGGATATGGGAAGTCGCTTTGAAGACGGATGGTTTTGTTATTATTGAAATTATTTTTCCGCCTAGGATTGGCCGATCGTAATCTGTGTTAGATAATTTAAGCTTGATTGAAAGTCGACTTAAGTTGACTTGAAAACTGCCACGACGATTGGTATAAGCGGAGATGGATACAGTAGCCAAGAAAAACAAAGCAAAGATCAGGTTAATCTTGTCGGCTTAACTTTTATTGTGGCATTTTACGCTGAATTCCAAAGTATATTAATGTGTAAAATACCGTCAAAATCTAAATAATCTATGGAAAACAATGTCCCAGTGAGAAAAAGGCGAAATTAAGAAAAAAATTGAAAAAGTGCACGAAACTAATGTCTACTTTTTATATTTAATACTAAAATGCGCAAAATCTTGTTTTTGGTATATACGAAAGCTGTCTGAGGGAATAAACATGTCAGCAAAATATCATATATATATATATCAAACAAAGGTCATTAGAATGTTAATGTTACTGAACAAAGAATAGCTGGTTTATAACATAGGGTGTAACGTTACAGTGCACACAATATTTTAAGAACATTTGAATATGATTGATACGACAAAATCCGTAAGTAAACTTGAAATTTTACAAATTCTGGGTGGCGAAAAGTTACTCGCTATACTCCATTACCATATCAAGTATTACAAGTGTTTGGTATATCGTAAAACATACTTATGAAGCTCAAATAGCATTTGAGAGAAATGGAATCTACATCCCTTGTAAATACAAAATAATTAAAATACATTATGTATAGAAATATATGTTGGTTCGGTCAAATAAAGCAGTCTACTTGGCCAATGATCGCAACGGAACTCAGCCTAATCTTCACAACTCAGCAACTCAGAATTCAAAATTACATTTTTTTGTTTAGCCATGAGCCAACATTTAAAAAATAAAAGTAAAAAAATAAACTAAAAAATGAAGAAAAAAAAAGAAAAGTAAAAACAAAATTATCAAATCTTCCAAAAAACAACCGCGCACGCGTCCTCATTATTATGAAACAAGAGTGTCAAGTATCAAAATGCAATTTACATTTCCGGTGCCAAAAACTTGCGGTCAACAAACTCAAACAATAGGATATAACATGAAATAAAAGAAAGGGAGAGATAGCGATCGTCAATAGCACAATTTTGCGATATTTAATAGCCGCCAGTGCACACAATGTCAAGGAGCTAGAGTGAAACAATATACGGTATCCGTAACGCGAGATTAATGCTCTGCGTAGGACAATTTGTAGGTGGTGGAATTGTTGCCACATATTTGGTATTAGGTGTGGATAACAAAAGCAATTTTTACGTAAAGTTAATTTCAGGATAACAAGTTCACAGTGTGCCTCGAATTCCGAAAAACTGTCATCGAAAAAGTACTCGTAAAAAGAGCAGTCTAAACCAAACGGATTAGTGGAGATGTAACGCAAAAAAATAAATTACATACATTCATTCGTATAAATTGGAGTTTGTATGTATTTTTATATAACATCATTGGCGTTCTGAAACCCGGTGTCTATGTGGCGGCCCAATAACCCTTGGGGAGTGGTCCATCCAAATGACGAATGGAGCCTTATATCAATCCCTATTCCAACAAATGTAATAAACTAAACCCTGTGGTTTTGAGTTAAAAGCTTAAATTTAAAAACTACATTTAGACTACTATTTCCAACAATTTCGCGGTTTCACTTAAAACGAAGCTTCATAGATTGAAAAGTTTCTGCTTTCTATCACATGTAATATGTTTTTCAGTTCCATAGTTAATGATTCGATCATACTAAGGTGAACGGCGGACTTGTGTCGGGCGTTGAAGCATTATTAATGGATAGATTATTCATTGGATTAAGTCCCCGCTAAGAGCTGCTGTCAATAAAAAACCGGCACGAATCGTTTGCAAGGATAAAGGGGTTATCAAATCACCGACAGCTTGCAAAAACAATATATTTTAAAAATTAATTGAATAAAACATCCGAATTATTGATATACTTGAACGTTGGTTCCAAAAATTCACATATTTCGCATGAATATTAATAGTTATTTTAACGAATGAAGTTTTTCTATACGGGAGTAATTAAAAATGCAAAGCTGTATAATATATATAAGCAAACTTACAGACGTCAAGTTATTATCATTTGTGCTATTAATAAATCTAACTCCGAACGGAATTTGCAATATGAATTCGCGTAACCGTCGATAGTATTCGGATATAATTTTCACCCAAGTCCATATTGCTTTTGTATAAGGATACGAAAAACAAAAACAAATAAATGGCGAGAAACATAATAAATGATGAAATCATTGAAATCCATTCGTCAAGATGGATCGGGTCTTGCGTGAAGATTTTGTGTTCATTCAGAGTAAAAAAATATTACCAGACATCAGAAACATACAGTTCGCAGGTGCGCTAACAATGGTAACAACATGGCTTACAAGGATACTTAGTAAAAATGTTTACTACAAAAGCCCCACCGACAAAAACACGTGATAAACCCGATACGACGTTAAAACTTGATAAAAAAAATGCCATGCTCGAACAAACGTACGCCGCACGTAAATAGCATTATATGGTACGGTTTATCTATGATATATAATCGAGCATGTCTACTCTAACAAATTGATGATTTCATCAAACACACAAAGATACATGCCACAACTTCCTAGAAGGGTGTGAAAAATCGTACTGGGCCAGTGTCGATTTCAAAGTGACCGGACCCCCCATTGTGTCCTGTGGTGTAGGGGCACCCATTGTGCAAAAAGAGTGACCTCACTTTTCCATCACCAGGAAAGGTAAGGTGTCGGGAACGGGGAGAGACGCGAAACCTGAGACAATTTACTGTCTGGTATAACCCGTCGTGTAAATTTACTAGGACGTTTTGTTCGACGAAACCGCGGAATTGCCACACAGAATATACTCCACTTGACGCAGATGACATTAACATGGAATTTTAACGGATAACAGCTGGAAACATCGGCATAAGTGACCGCAGGGTTAGGAGGTCAACTCTTTCCCAAGCATGAGTTACTATAGCCTTGTCGAGCAAGAAATTCTTTCACGAGCGACTATTGGCATTCCTCGATCTCAAGTAAATAAGTTGTTTATGCTCAGTTCTGAGAATTCTCGAAATGACTTTGTACCAATCGATTCAATATTGAACTAAACACTTAGTCGGAGAAATAAATCTAATGAGAGAACAATGGAGTATATAGTAAGTACTACATTATTTACGGAATGCAAATACTAATGTAACAGCTGTGCAATTACTGTATCAACGCGAAAGAATGAAGTCAATATGAACTAACTGAAACACGGAGTCATAATCAAATATATGGACAGGGATAAAGTTGTTTACTTTGGTAACCGTCATGTAAACATCTGTCGTTTGCTGATCACGTGATCATCAGACGTATTGAAGAAAAAGAAGGAAAAAACTCATATGAAATTTTTAATAATATAAATTATTAACCTTCGCGGGTACTGGACATTTAACTGATTGGCCTAGTAATTTTAGAGAAAAACGTTGACAACAACAGCATCAATTTAGCTTATTGGTCCGGTCCGTCCATGACGACGCTTAAACAGTTATCAATATTCTGAATCAATTTCGACCCAAATAAAACGTGAAATTTTCTGCCTACTTCTAGAATTTTTTTTCATTATTATCGGGTATGATTCGCGGGTAAATTAATTGTGCTTATGGTTGAAGTATGATGTTGGTTGGAAGTATAATGCTAATTGCGGTAATCTTGGAGACGTGCGGCTAGTTCTTTGTTTAGTATTTCGACTTTATATCGAAATAGTGACGGAAATCAAAACTTAACAATTTAATCGGGTTGAATGAAAGTGCGAGATAAGTTTTGAAAACAAATTCATTATTTTGCAAATTTCTATTCTATTTGTAATGGGAAGGAAACCGCGTCAGTTTCAAATGAAAGGAGTTTATTGAGCGGAAAAGCAAAACAAAAATAATGATCTATCATTTGGTAATAAAAAAAATTTCATCCCGCCGGCGTAAAGATATCACATTACTGTGTATTGTGAGTTGTCAAAAATAAACAATATCAAAATAAGATTTCATCCAAACAATTATTAGCGTTTATTATAAAACGACGGAATATTTTGTCGCATCAGCACAGTCTCGAAATAGATTAGTTTCATGCTCAAATAAATCGCACTTAAAAAATCTGTTATAGATTTGCTTATTGGTCATTAATTTATATCGAGGGAATATTGTATAATGTTGCATTAACAGCGATATTCAAGATTCGATATTTTAAGATTCGGTTCGGTTTGAGTTCGAACTTGTAGTATTGTGTTCACTCTGGTATTTCAGCTAAAATATAACATAGATTTTGCCATTATTTTCTATTAGTTCGGATTAGAACATTTAAAAATTACAATATATACTGTTGATTAATTTCGAAATACAAAAGTATTCCTATACTGAAAGTGACAATATATTGCAATTATAAATGTTTGTATGTCAGGTATATATACCCATCTAACAAGGAGATACTACAGAAAACCAGGGCTTCTCAATCGGGAGTAAATTCATACACGGGGAAAATTTTACCCACATTGTGGAAGTACATAACAAAATGTAACAGTTGGCCACAAGGCCGTTTGAGACATTGTAGAATTGCAGCACCCTCCATTGCGCAATAGACGTTATTACGCTCTTGCTGCAGAGAGATGCTGTCCACTTTTTCATATGTCAAAAGACAGCTGATAAAAATTTAGGCAGGGGTAAATTTTACTCGGTTAAACTACTAAAGAAGGTTAAAAACCTCCTGCTATATACAGCAAGCCAATGCCTGCTCGATCTTATATTTAATTGTGTACAACATATTCATCATCTCATTTACAGAGAAAATATCCGAAAACTGTTTCTTTAAAGTATGCTACATGTGGTAAATCCGCAATTGTTTAATTCGTGCATAGCAAAGAAAGGGTAAATAACGAGGATGAAATTCGTTTAACGAGAAACGCGAGTGTAGGATCGTAAGGTCATCGAAAACACGACTAAATGAGTATTTAATTTCGTAAACACCTGCAGTATTTGCAAGCATATTTTTGTGCAAATATAACAAATTATGGGTACACAATCCCCTATTGTTGCACAGTATATAGAATTTGCAAAACCTTTAACATAGTTAAAATAATATATAAAAATCTGGAAAGAGTAATTTGAAACATGTTTCGATGGCATGATTAATTTGAACAAAGCTATTTGATTGATATTAGGTAAATCAAATATTTTTCTTCTCCGATGAAAATGATTTATGTGCATACTTTGAGTGAGGGAATTATCCAAAAACATATTCTCACACTATTAGAATAACATTCTCGGAAATGAGTTATACATAAACATTACTGTTATTTCAAATAATCGTCCGGAGAGAAAACAAATAGTGCCATTTGACCATCCATTCAGTTTCAAGGCCGATACATTTCACTACATGCAACCCTCATAACGCAAAAGCATGTATGTCAATTGAAGAGAAATATCTCACGTCACACAGAAACATTTTTCAAAATTTACTAAACAAAATTGAATTAGTGCCGGTGAGTGAACTTGTCAAGACGATCAAAATTCGTATTAATACCAAGATTCCTTTCAAGTAAATTGGTTTTTAACAGTTTTTACAATTTATAGAAGCATTCGGATGCAATTTCCGTGTAGCCTACTTGACAAGGATACAACCTGATTATTTATTTATTCATTTGGAGACTAATGCCTATTTTATTCGTTATGGAGGCGACTAGGGCCGCCGGTCTAATATACAGAATTACAACGACCGATCTCAATTGTGTATCAAATACCGTCTTCAAATATAATAATCAAAGGCCAAAAGTAAATTGAAGTAGAGGCCTTGACGCATGTTCTGGTGAATTATTAACCGCGTTAGCTTTTACGGAGAAGTGAACAATATATAGCCAGGGCAATCAGACCATAATCAGCAGATGACCTGCACAGGTGTCCAGCTTTTGAGAGGGAGCGTGGGGTCACAAAGGTTAAGAGTGTGATGATAATCTAACCATTGCATGATCAGGTCATTCTAGGTGATTTTTTTCTTTTTTCGTTCATCGCATCTGGTCACTAGTGACGTAAAAAGACGCACATTGTCCACATTGCAGATCAATTTACAGTTTAACAATAGTATATGAAAAATTACCAGATAATCAAAAACTGCGCATTTGTTAAACTATGATAAAATAAATAAATTCTATAGTGAACAATAATAATCTTATCACAGATGTGTTTGACACAGGTTGGACAATCTTTATGCACTAGGTGAGGTAATCCGAATAATTTTTACCATACAAACAATTACTCTGTAGCGCCATCATGTGACATGTTGTGCTAAGATATTGTGCCAAATTAGAAAAAGGCCTTTGCATTGATTTTTGGCTCTTTATCTACTGAGATTCAATACTAGCGTTGTTACATACCCCGCGAAGGGGTGAATATTGGTTCTTTTTCTTCTTATCGTCAACAGGGGACGAAATAGTTGACATAACTAAGATAAAAATACCTGAATATTTTCCATTATATTTATTTTTAGACGAGTGAAGATCTCACTCCTCCTCTTTGTACATTTGAAACCTTACTTCAAGGTTTTGCATGCTTTCCTGACTTTGTCATCAGTTTTTATATTTTATTCTTTCATTTATTAGTCTATCATTTATTTAGTCTTTCGTGCTGATTACGAAGTCAAAATAGACTTACAATTATATTAAACCATAAGTGCTTATGCCTACACTTGAAAACAAGTGGAATACAGAGTCTCTCTTTTCCTAATTATGTTTAATAGCATTTGATTAGTTCCACACCAACTTGCATGGGAAACTATGAGCTAAGAACTCCGGCACTGGGGATAAAATTTTTGGGGATTTTAATTTTTCTCTTGAATAAATTTCCTTTCGTCTAACTTTGGAGAAAAGGTGAAAATTTACTAATATAATTGGAATGAATATCATCTTAATTCTAAAATATATTTTGCATCACCTGGAAATCTCTTCAAGCCAGCATTATTTCACATCTCCTTCATACGAAAACGTTCCTACAACCCTATTTTACTTTTGAAAAAACTACTGTGTTATGTATCATATGTAAAAACATACTTTTGCTGACTTCTTTTTGAAAGTCTTGATGCTTCTGCAGCTTGTTTACGAGCCTCGAATTCCTCTCTTTTCAGAACTTCTCCGCTTCCTCTGTATCCCAGTTCCACTAGTTGACGTGCTAACTCTTCATCCTGTGTGGTTAATTTGAACTGCATTTACATGGTTTGAGTTTCATGCAATAAATTGTTACGGTATCTATAAATATACCTCTTTTAGCCTCTTGAGCCACCTTTTACACTTATAAAGATAAGATTTTCATAAGATACTTTTTAGGCTCAAGCCAGAGTCAGTAGGTTCTATCATGTGATAGTAGCTTGACATCCTAACTATTATGTCAAGACAGGCGCACATGAAAGAAACCGAGTAATATGAAATAGCCTACTAAATACAGAATATAATGCTGTAGCATCTTTGCATTCATACACAATGACTCCTAAAAATATAAGATGGGTTCATCAGAAACCTGACTGATGGCACCGTTTGAAAACATTCTGGAATATCTACTACTGAATATTGAAGATACTCAAATTTGGGTGATGTTTAAAAAGAGAATCTACACAGATCACTTGACCTTCATAGGGATCAAATTTTATAGTGTAAAAATGTAGGTTTAGTAAACCTCAAGATAGTAAAGATCCAGCGAAGTGATTTGTGAATCTAAAAAATCTTCATATGTACTGAATTCGGTCACAATATTATCAGCTCCAGCAGCAGCTTCTTCTTCCATCATCAAAAGTCAAAAATTGTAGCAGCGAACAAGCAAATTCATGTACAATAAGCAATACACTCTGTAAATACAATAATCGCACACATGAAAATACTTTGATGACCAGTACAGAATTTAATCCCGTGGGGAACAATTATGCGCAAGAGAATTACTGATCACCTCGTCATCATAGGGTGACTTATGTTACCTGCCAGTCAGTTACGGCTTCCTCCAACTTCATGTCTATCCATCTGAAACAAATAACTAGTAACCATTTCTCGATGCAGCCTTTTGGAAAAAGACTTTGCAGCCTTGCAAAGAAACTTTGACCACCCTTGATCTAATCCACTGATGATGCAAGTTGATTTCATGTGGCCCATAGGAAGTTTTGCTACTGATCCTCAGCCAACAGTTTACAATGAACACGAGATAAAAACCATTCTTGTGCATCGTACCATTGGTTCGCAATATTATACCAAAACACGCAATCAAAGCATATTGTAAGCTAGAAGCCACAGAAACTAGGGTACCGACATGTTTGTAACAACAAAAAGGGACACTGGAAGATGAAAATATACTGTTATAAAATTTGAGAAAGAATTGTATCGTTAATCAAGCAAAACTAGGGCCGTTTGCTTAATATTGCATGAATAATTTTTCAGTCTTATAATTGGAAACTACATTTCGAGCTCACGCTTAATGAAATTATGGAAAAAGCAATAACAAGTGAAGAGGACAAAAAGAAAGATTATTTTGCAGTCCCAGAAGACATTTGGGTTCGACATGGCTGGTTTAATCAATGGCTAGAAGGCAATACATCATGTAACTATGAATACATATAATATTCCGGTATTCCTGTACTTATTTTTTATAAGCAATCTTATTTTTAACAAGTCGTACGCAGGTGATACGATCAAGCAGATATCAGTCTATAACTTGATTTTGTCCTTCAATGCTAGAAGAGGTTGAACAATACAAAATAAACCTTGAAATTATAAAAACTCACCCAGAATAGCAACTCCAACAAAGTTGAGATAGAATAGCAGAAATGAGGATAATTGGGGATTTCCCTAATGTTGTCATGGAGAACACAAACTGCTAATAATTTAGATAATCCAATTTTCTACTGATAAGTACAACTTCATGGCTGTGACAAAATGTTTTTTTTATCTTTTTCGCTTATGGATTGTTAAAAAATAAACGAAATTACTAATGGAAAGTGGGTATTGTTTGTTTTTGTCTTGAACACTGAGGGGCGCACTTTGCTTCGACTCTAATCACTGTTCCTAAGCAACAAGTAACGCTTCACTTGCTGCGCAAATGCGATCGTGTTTTCGTGCTTGCTACTCCTCCTCATTTTCCCATTCTATCAGATAACATAATGATGGGAAGTACAGATTAGTTTTTAGGTTTCATGTATTTGATAAACTTTCCGTATAGAACGGAGCAACGCTCTTTTAAATCTTCAGACATTAAATTCCTGCCTGAAACAGAACAGACAGACAGCAGTGGAAAATTTAAAATCTTGATTCTTCGGTGTAAAGTTGGCTCTTTCTTCTATTTTAGGGATGGCGAGATTTATTGAATATGTTCAGGATAGTGACGGTAGTGGGGAATATGAGATACGGTAGTTAGAGTACATCATTTTAATCATAATATTGTATTAGTTGCTCAGAAGTCACAATTTTTACAGTCAAAGAAATTCTCAAATTAGGAAAATTTAATGGAAAAGACTAATGCGGTAAAATATTTCATATTAGTGTTTTCTTATTTTTATTTAGTTTGCTTTGCGTCGAATATATGAAATTATGCTTATCACTCTGTTGCTCTGTCACTACCAATTTACAGTTCATTTATCAATATGTTATATTTTTTTCAGTTTTTAAATTGCATTCATATACTCACACTTTGTTTTATAAATGTAAGTCCGATGCAATATTTTGACAACAATTGAATGTAGTTGAAAGTACTTTTGTAATGCACATTGAGTATCACTGAAGTGTTGAACAGTAGTTGAATCAAAACATCAACATGGCGGGTGGAAAGACAGATATGGAAAGAATCGGCCTCTTCAGTGAAGTTGGCTACACAACGATTGGAGATAAATACCCAAAGGTGGATCCAAACAGTAGTAAGTCTTGTAAAATGTCATGTCAAATTTTTTTCAATCATACCTGTCTTTTCTTAGAAATGACTTTTAAAAAAAGATCAATTTTATAATTACAGCTTTATCATGAATCTATTCAATTGCACAGTTAAAACAAAATGTAATTTCAATTCAAATTTGTGGAATGCTCACAACCAGGATTTATTCTTAGCTTTCGCACGAAACACAATTATTAAAAAGTTTCAAGGGTGTGCACTATGGTTACAAATATCAAGGAGCATATTGTTCAGGTTTTGATATATTCTGATATTTCATAGGGCCTTTCAATGAAGCTGCCTACAAAAATAAACACATGCTGCCAGGGGGAAGCAAAACTCGTTCTGCACTTCAGGTAGTCATTCGTTTTATTCCTTTTTAAATACATGAATTAGGATGACCCATACAACATTGAATTAATGTTGTTTTAGGCTGGCTACTTTGAGGGCCAATTCAAAAGAATCATGGAAAAAGAAGCCTACACAGACCCTGTCAAGCTTCGGCGACAACAGAGATTAAAAGAATCAACAAAAAATATTGGCAAAGCTTTTTTGCCGAACGCTGGTGAAAAATTACCGTAAGACATTTATTTACATCTTTACGAAAACATATATGAAGACTCCAATTTGATTCAATATCAATTTTTCAGATGTGGTCTTGGAAATCACTATGGCACATTTTCAGGACCAATCAACGCGTTTAGCCCAGTACCACGCCCAAGAAAAGCATACACTGCACCAGGAAGAAATTTCACTACAAATCCGCCGAAAAAGGGAACTGGCTATGGGTGAACATTTTCTTTTTCTCATTACTATTTTACTTTCTGTATTCTAATTGACAATTTTGAAGGTATGGATGCACATAATAAGTTGCACCTTGCTTTATGCTACTTCAGATATATCGGAGTAACTCTTGGGAAATATCAAGATCATGCAGTAGAAGCCTACAACAGAGCAAAAGAAATGCGAAGGGTAACACTGAAATTTTCAATATTTGTGAAAGAACTGGAAGGTTACAAATTTCAAATAATTTCTATTTTTCAGAAAGAAATGCTGGCGCACAAAGCTATGCTGAAGGGGGCTGCTTTTAGATTGAACTCTCATCCACAAACTTATTTTGATCATAATCCATATAGACCGGACAGGCCTTTAGGTCCACCCAAAAAGGCTTCAGCGTCTTTACCACCAGTCAAACCATTCAAGCCAAGTTCTCCACCGAAAAAGGTAGGTTTAAAAATTTCAGGCAGCCTTTTAATAAATTCAAATTTCAACTGATGTTGATGATAGAGTTCTATTCCACATATGATCTTATGAATAAATAAAGCATGAACCAACCTTTATTAAACATCCCCAAATATCAAAATTGTACTGTTTTGTATGAGCATAAACCAAAGTTTTTTAAACATCCTGAAAATTCGAAATTACAGTGTTTTATATTTTATTCACATTTGTGTGGCCGATTCTGATGTAGGCTATTAGAAAATTACCTGAACGAATTACCAGTAGGCAAATTATGTCAACACTCAACAGACACTGAATTCAAAACTAAAAGTTGATTATATCATTGGTTGACCAGCATACAATGTGAAACTATGAAATGACTCAAAATGCATATCTCAACTCAATACCCATGAATTTTAAATAAAAACAGCGTGAAAATACTCATTTTAACTTCAATTAAATCATTCGTTTATAATTGGTCTTATGAATTTCAATTTGCTTTTAGATTGCAGGAGCAAAGGCTGGGACATTTGATCCGTATCCATCACATTCCAATGATCCATATGTTGTGAAAAAAAAGAAGGCACCAACAACAAATAAGGAAGGAAAAATATTTCACCCGGCCCTTGGACCGAAATCTAGACCAACGAAATCTATTGTATCACAAAATGTCATTAAGTAAGTGTATTAAGTAAAATAACTCTGCTACAGAATTCACAAATATTCTTAGGCAATTAATCTCATCCACACACATAGGGATATATATTATCTTTTCCAAGTAAATTCTATGACCTTTAACTAATTTTTAGCACTATTGATAACCAAAAAAGTGTAAATTTACCACCATTTTGTATAGTTTTACACAATACCCTAGTCTATATTTTTTTGTTTAATAAATATACCGAAAAGCATATGTATACTAAAGACAAAACAATACATTCCCTTCCCACTTTTAATAACATGACATCAGGTCGCGAGTCCGTAAGTTATTGAATACCAGCCCTATTATATAGCAACTGTATCACATTTCTCTTTTGTGGTTTATTAAACATATATCTTTATATTTTCAGATCTGTTCATCGGGATAATTATAAAAGCGTTCGTCAGGTCATGGCATTTTAAAAAATGCATTGATCTTTTTCACCCACTTACAAATGCAATTTGATTTACTGTTAATGAAACCTCTATAAAGTCTTATGATTAATATTTTAATTTTATCGCAAGTGTTATTCTAATAATGTACTGTTTTTGTCATGTTGTCAAAATGTATGAAACAAAAAAGACTGCATAATACTATTGAAAATAGAATAATGTACTAATTTTAGAATTTAATGTGGTGACTTGGTACTAGCCTCTGTAAAATACATAGCAAAAATGTGACATGAACTTCAAGGAATGAGGCAACATCTAGTCTATTGTGCTTTAATCAAAATCTGCTCGAATCTTTCGATATTTTTGTCTAGTTGAAAGCTTTTCATGTCAAAGCAGTATGGTAATGATTTAGTTTGAATCACGCTGACACTGTCTACTTTTATATTTGTATCAACATTCTTTTAACACTTGTGTCATCTCTTCGACAAAAACTTTCCATTAGGTTGAATGTTTTGAAAATAACTACACAATTTGTTGATTAGAAGAGTCTGTCTTTTTTGAAATAGCTTATAACAAAACTCTTCTGTAATACTGTATATTTTAAACTTAATTTACTGTATTTCTTGAAAAATTAAATTCATTAAGTCATGAATACTGTTTTCTATTTTATCAAAATCTAAATTTCCATCAGTTTTAAGAAATATTTCATCATCCACATAACCTATTTTTAATAGAAACATTGTCTGTTTTTTCACATTGATGAGATTTTTAGAAAACTGAGAAAGAGTTATATCAGATGACGTTGAGTTTTTGAAATCTTGTATTTTCATTGATACTAACCGTCGTATACATATATCAGCTTGGTGAAGAAAATTTTTTCTGTTTATTTGACGCACTTTTTCAATTTCTTCTTGTATGGCAGGTCCCGGGAAACTGGGTGGGTGCTCCATACTTTCATCAATTATTCTTAATACTTGACCAGAAGATGCTTCCAAATTGCGACTTCCTAATTTTACAACAAATTTTTCCCATTTGCATTTTGAGTTCGACCCAGGAATTTCCATTTGATTGCTAATTTTTTCAAGGATAGCTTCTTGAATTGGATTTTCACGTTCTTTGTTGTTTCTCAAACACACTTGTAATGGTATATCAAAGTAAACAATACTGAATCCAACTTCAAGTTTCGCACACATACGGTAATATTCATTCCGCATACCTCTGTATTGCATATTGTCATCAATGAGTAAAACAATTTTCATAGTTGGATCAAAAGTTTTGATGTCTTGGAACAGAAATTCAAGGGCAGACTGAGACACACCTTTATCAAATATCGGACATAGCACTTTGCTTTCATTTCCCAAAAACTCTAGAATTGAACTAACATTATTTGCAATTGATGATCTCGCTGCTTTCCAAGCACTAACAGAGTCCAATGACTTGGCATGATCAACTTTCAATAGAAGTGAATCATAGCATACATGAATGAACTTGTGTGTAGAGCCTTGCAAATGTTTTAGATGATTTGCTAATGTTGTTTTTCCAGCTCCAGGAAGTCCACAAAACACACAAACAGAACAATCCATCCTAATTTAAACTGTGATCAAATCAATGAAAATATTATCATAGACATTTAGTATTACATGTTCAATATATTTGATTTTAGAGCATATTGCCATGTCTATAAAATTTGTAACAACCATCAAATTATACCTACCGATATATTAAATATTTCTAGTGGCAAGGTAGCATAAATAGGGTTACAAATATGCAACCCATTTCTTATTGCTAGTCACAATTATAAAGCTTGCAGGTCTGGCGACGAACCTCATCAATGTGACCTACACATTCGACTATCATGTAATACCAATTGTGCATCAATGTGACCTACACATTCGACTATCATGCAATACCAATTATGCAAAACTACTAAAAACCTGACCTATCGGAAAGTTGCACACCGAATTTTCCAGCAGTATCCTAAGATAAACTGGAGGGAAAAAATTTCACAGTAGATAATAAATTGGTGCAAATAGGGCTTGCCTATTCGAGGGGCAAAGATTTGAACAATATTTCCCTGGGTTTCCGCAACTATGTCACAATAGAACAATTGACTTCCCAGCAATTGAGCATGTGTGAACCAGTATTGATAATTTACTACTGTACTAGATTAGGAAAGAAAAACTGATGTCTGTTGCGATAGACTCATGTTGAAAACATGATTATTGTTAAATTAATAATAACTCATGTTATTATTTAAGTGAATAAAAGTCACACAGACATTTCGTCCACAAGATGGTTCAATTTATGGGATGTGGAATTACGGGACATTTGGGTTGAATAAATGTCCCTAAATAAATTTATAACCAACTCCCAAGTGTGTCTGAAAATCATAACTAAAATCGCCATATGTCACTTTGTAATCCTGTAATCAACAGATAGGATTTACATATTTATCCCGCGGGAGAGAAAAGCCGATAAAAAAAACACGGCCTCTCGTCCGGTTACCAGTCCAATCGGGTATGGGATTAGTTAGCCAGTTATTTGTTTTCGGAAGCATGGACTCGATGATGGAGGAAGCCGTAACCGACCAGCGGTTATGTAAACCACCCTACGGCGGCGAGGATAGGATATACATATTTATCCCGGGGGCGAGGAAAGCCGATAACACGGCTTATCCATATGGCGAACCACGGCCTCTCGTCCGGTTACCATTCCAAGTCGGGTATGGGATTAGTTTCACCGTATTATTTGTTTTCGGAAGCATGAACTTGGTGGTGGAGGAAGCCGTAACCGACCAGCGGTTACGTGAACCACCCAACGACGGCGAGGAGTCCAGCAATCCTCTCGCACATAACCATCCCTGCATGGGATTCGAACTCTGCGTCAGCAATCCTCTCACACATGATCATCCCTGCAGGGATTCGAACCCACAAAAGGTACCGTAATCAGAGATGCGGTGGCGAGCGTATTCCTAACGCATAGCACGATGGGCCTCACCGTCGAGGAAGAATCTGAGGGGCGGAACCTCTGTAAATCAAAGCGTGGTACCGGTACCAACCGTCACTCGTCACATAAGTATAAAAGCAAGATTGTAAAAACGCAGTAACTTAGGGCTAGGCTATACACAAATCAATATTTTGGCAGTACTAAGTACCGGTATACCCAGTCAAATGAATAATAAATAAAGACACCTCCACTCGATTTATTTTTTAAATGGATCCACAACGTGGATTGTTCAATAAGTAAATAATGGATTAATTAAATATAAATTAAACATCCACTCGATCAAACACCGAGATTTCAGCCCTACGTAGTCTACGGCCTACTCTCAACTCAGACTCCTAATGAGGCGATTCGGGTTTGCATTCAGCCTTGATAGCCACTTATATATGGGCTTCATAAATCATAGACACTTTGGCTTGAGCTAGCTTTGCAATGGACGTTTACCCGACCCTTGAAAGATTCTACTTAATCATTGCAAAATTTTCAACGCTGATTTTGAGTGTTTTGGAGAGTTGGCGGTTACAAATTGGCTCACATGTTCAAAACTATCATTTTTATTCAAAACAAGAGAGCTATGCTCAAATATATGGACACGTAGAGTCACATAATTTTGATGACGTCATAGCGAAAAAAAAGTAATAGCCTTCTGGAGAAAATTTTTATCTTTAACCACTAAAAATTTCAAAGCAATTGGTCCAGTATTCGAAGAGAAAAGCGACTTTTAAAAACGTGTCAAGCGGTACTGAGTTAGCAGTCAGGCAGCATCTTACCTGTACACTGTAGGCCATATACGGTAATTGATCACAGAACAGTTGTTCCCTTGCAAATTTTATGTTGTTTACACTTTAGGACAGATAATTGATCACAGAACAATTCTTCCCTTTCAAATTTTATGTTGTTTCCAGTAGACTCTCATCAAAATAAACAAATATAGTAGGCTACAAGTGCTACAACGTTTGCATTACTGCACTGGTAGGACCGTGAAAGAATAAGTTACGGTAATTTCATTGTGGTAAGACACCGGTACCGGCACCAGTATCGTACTTACGTACTGAGCTACCAGTACCGGTTAGCAGTCAGCCAGCATCTTACCTGTACACTGTAGGCCATATACGGTACCGTAATTGATCACAGAACAGTTGTTCCCTTGCAAATTTTATGTTGTTTACACTTTAGGACAGATAATTGATCACAGAACAATTCTTCCCTTTCAAATTTTATGTTGTTTCCAGTAGACTCTCGTCAAAATAAACAAATATAGTAGGCTACAAGTGCTACAACGCTTGCATTACTGCACTGGTAGGACCGTGAAAGAATAAGTTACGGTAATTTCATTGTGGTAAGACACCAGTACCAGTATCGTACTTACGTACTGAGCTTCCAGTACCGGTACCGAACCTGTAGGTCTGATATTCCGTTCCGCATACGATAGGCTATAAAACTTGCATTGCAGCATTAGTAATACCGCGGAAGGAATAAGTCAATTTCACTGCGTTACGGTACCTGTATGGCAACTTACCAGTACCGACCTACAGTAGCTGTAGTACTGAGCAAGACAATCGATCGCGAAACCGCTTGAAATAAGTGTAAAACAGTGTTCCCATGAGTAAAAATAAATACCGCGAAATTTTGTATGAAATATCATATCTCATAGGATTCATATAAAATTTAAGAATAAACAAAAGTAATAGCCTTCTAGCGAAAAAATTAATCTTTAACCACTGAAAATTTCAAAGCAATTGGTCCAGTATTCGAAGAGAAAAGCGACTTTTTAAAAACGTGTCAAAGAACAACAAGAACAAGAACAAGAACAACAACAACATAATATTGAAACGATCGTTATGTCCACTACGTGTCCAACAATAAACCACGTGACGCTTATAGGTAGGCTACCGGTACTGATAGCTAATTTTAGGCTAGTCTATCGCAACGTTTGCGGTATCAATTTTTAATTATTGTAACTAAACTAAAGGTCCTCGGACGACATAGAGACAATTGAGTTATTTGATTTATATCTATATTTTGGAAAGATAACTAAAAACAGACGAATACAGACGGGATAAAACGTCTAAAAAGTGGGACTGTCCCGCCTAAAACGGGACGTATGTTAACCCTACTTATACTACTTTCTTTAGGCCGTCGTGTCCATATATTTGAGCATCACTCTTTCGACATAATGACAATTAACTTATATGGCACCAATACAGCTATTGTTCTTGTATTATGCTGACTGGCTGAACGCCAAATCGGGACTTTTTGGCTGACCGGTCGGGACACCGGGACAAAACGTCAAAAAGTGGGACTGTTCCGCCTAAACGGGATGTATGGTATCCCTACCTATACTAATTTTTTAGGCCATCGTGTCTATATATTTGAGCATCACTCTTTTGACATTGTGACAATTAAGCTATATGACACAAATACAGAAATATATGTGTGCAGCAGGACTCTTGAATTAAATATCATGGTATTTTTATTCCTGCTACAGCATACTCGCATTATACGCATACGGATCCAATAGCCCAAAGACATTGAGAATAGACCTCAATCATTCAAAACCCATCCTGTGCGCAAAAATATAAGTGAAATAAACGAATCAATTTTAGCATTGGCTCTTATGGACCTTTCCCCGAGAATCGACTTCCTTGTTTGCATCGTGACATTGGCCAATCAGCAAGATGCAAAAAGTGACGTAGCAATGCTCCCTTTTCGCATCCGCTCAGACACTTTTATCACTCAGACAGATTTTCTAGCGTGTTTGTAAACATTACCTCTTTTTCGCGTTTTTGAACTCTATTCGTTAGTTTTCAGTTGTGTTTCGGAAACTTATACATAAATAAGATAATTCAATGATCACTCTGTCTTCCTAGGAGTTTTAATTTAATTACAGTAATAAAATATTAGTGTAGAAATAGCTGTGATAGACTGGGCTAAAATTCTTTACCGGTACTTTTAAAAAACAGATTGTTGCATGCGATGAATCCTAATGATGGTTTGAAACAGGGCTTCCCAAACTTTTGATCTCGCAGCCCCTTTTAATATATTAAAATTTTTCGCGGCCCTTGTTGGACACGTTTAGTGGCCATAACGATCGTTTCAAAATTTTGTTGTTATTGTTATTTTTAAAATTCATCTCCATTTTTGAAAAATCGCTTTTCTCTTCGAATACTGGACCAATTGCTTTGATATTTTCAGTGGTCAAAGATAAAATTTTTCTCCAGAAGACTTTTACTTTTTTTTCTCGCTATGACGTCATCAAAATTATTGCCACTGGGTGGCGCTACGTGTCCATATATTTGAGCATAGCTCTCTTGTTCACGTTAATAATGCTAAACAGTAATATGCATTTTTAAAATTTTATTGACACCGCCAATTCTCAACTTTTAGTAGGCCTACTCAATAACAAAAACAAGCACCTATTTACTCAGATTAACATTACTCAATTATTCAGTGTAATGGGTGCGAATGCTTTCTGCTGCATAGCAAGTCCAGCCGTGGCTCAATGTTTGTTTATGCAGGCCTAAATGATGAATTACGATGTCTGGCCACCGACGGCATGGTTCTTATCCGGAATTGTTACGCACTCTTATTGATCAAATTTAGCATAAGACAGCGGTTT